ATCACGGAGCACTCCCGAACCGACCCACACAACCCAAATGGTGAAACCGCCGTCTCTACTAAAAATAGAAAAAATCTAGCCGGGCGCAGTGGCGGGCGCCTGTAGTCCCCAGCTACCTCGGGAGCTGAGGCACGGAAGACATGGCGTGAACCCGGGAGGCCGGAGCTTGGCTGAGAGCCTGAGAACTTGCACCGCGCCACTGCGCTTCAGCTGGGCGACAGAGCAAGAACTCGTCTCAAAAAAAAAAAAAAAAGTGAATGTCCGGCCCGGCGGGTGGTGGCTCACACCTATAATCCCACGCCCTCCCTGGGTAGGCCCGAGGGGGGCAGATCTCCTGAGCTCACCGGAGCTCTCAAGAACAGCTGGCCAACATGGACGACACACCCCGGCTCTACTAAAAATACAAAAAATTAGCGGGCGTCCGGTGGCACCCCGCCCTGTAATCCAGCGTACCGTCGGGAGGCTGAGGCCAGGAAGAACCTGCTTGACACCCAAGAGCAGATGTTGCAGTGAACTCAGATCGTGCACCCCGCAACTCCAGCTGGGCAACAGAGCGAGACTCCATATCAAAAAAAGAAAAAATAAAAAGTGAATGTCCCCAGTACAGTGTACTCCTTAAAAAATGGTTCCTGTCTGTGAACTTATGCAAATCAAGCTTCTATTACTGAAGACTGAAATGGAAATGAAGAGAGAGCAGCTTTTTTCTTTCCACTTTTATAGGTCAAGATCATTTCCTTCACAAAGGGAGCAAAAAAAAGGGGATGACATGTCAAGCCTGGACTCCCACTTCCCCACATGAGGCTGGCTTCTGCCCACGATGGTTTTTGGACACGAAGAGACAGGCCTCGCCTTTTTTTTTTTTTTCTTCTTCTTCACTCGTTTTTGATCTCGGCTCACTGCAAGCTCCGCCTCCTGGGTTCATACCCTTCTCCTGCCTCAGCCTCCCGAGTAGCTGGGACTACAGATGCATGCCACCACACCCGGCTAATTTTTTTTGTATTTTTAGTAGAGACAGGGTTTCACTGTGTTAGCCAGGATGGTCTTGATCTCCTGACCTCATGATCCTCCCACCTCAGCCTCCCAAAGTGCTGGGATTAAAGGCGTGAGCCACCGCGCCTGGCTAATTTGTGCATTTTTAATAGAGACAGGGTTTCACCATGTTGCCCAAGCTGGTTTTGAACTCCTGGCCTCAAACGATTCACCCTCCTCAGCCTCCCAAAGTGCTGGAATTACAGGCGTGAACCACTGTGTCAGGCCTT